GGGGAGGGGAGGGGAGCGCGTCGCAGAGGTCCGCGTCGTCATGGAGAAGCCTTTCTCGGCGCGGTGCCGCCTCGCCGCCTCCGCCCGGGCCGCGCCTCGACAGCCCTCTCGGCACTACCGCACGTAGAGTCCATTCCCTATATTCTGGCAGAGCGGCGAGCAAAGGCTTTCGAGACAATGCCATTCAGTCATTGTGTAACTCATCAGCAGGGTGTGTTCCGGTGCGTTATAAGGGTTGACCTGCCGATGTAGAGTGTCCACCCGTCCTCCCGACCTGCGTGGGGCTCCTCTCGCAAAGACAATGCGCACGCCCAGGCTCGGCTCGGAGAGGTGGCCACTCTAACTTTTGGGTATCGTCCCTTCGACCACGGTGTTTATGAGCCTAACAAAGACGACCGGAAAGCAAAGCCTAGCCGCTCTGCCAGAATATAGGGAATGGACTCTACTCCATTAGGGGGCGGTACAGCACGTCCTACCCCACCTGAAGTAACCACGGCGGCCTATGGCCTCCGCGCACCGTGCGGCAGGAGGCGCACAACGCGTACGGCAGGATAGCGGGGGAGGGAGGGTGGGGGTGGGTCTTCCATACGCCGATCCCAAAGGGGTGTGAAAAGTATCGCACCTCACCTCCTCCTTGGCCCCGCATCACCCCCGCCGCCGCCGTCCTCCTCCGCTACCATAACCGACTTGTGGTTGTGACGGCCTTGGTGCGCCATGTGGGGCCCGACCCCCCGCAGCAGCAGCAGCCTGCTAGCCAGCCCCGCCCACACACACCCGCAGCCCGCCTGACGTGCGAGACGTGACGAATGAGGGACAGGGACAGCGCCACTCCGTCAGTGCGAACGAACGTGCGCGCGCGTGCGAGCGTGCGTGCGCCTGTTTGCGCGCCCAGGGACGTGACCTAGGCCTACAGCGCGGCCGCCGAGCCGCGCCCCCTGCAGGCGCTGCTTTCATCGCCAACGCGAGCGCGCACACACACAAACTTACAAGCGCACTGGCGCACGAACACGCACGTACACGCACGCACAGCAGGCGAGGACGCGTGAAGACGTCAGTCACGTAGGGTAAACGAAAGTGCCTCTATACATGTGGCAAAAGGGGGAGACTAACGACCGCAAATCCTGCAGAAGCAGGCAGCGCGGCGAGGCGCAAGAGAGCTCTGCGTCTGTCTGAAGACGACGTCGACGACGACGACGAAGACTTGACGTTTAGGGGAAGGGACATGATGTGAGAGGGTACGCAGTGAAGGTGCGCCACGGCGCCCCACGCCATCGCCGCCGGCGACACGACTGCGCCCGCCCGCGGAATAAGGGAGCAGGTAACTCGTATCGGGAACCCGTCCAGTTGCGAGGGTTCTGATGCGCCGAGGCGTGGATGGGGTGAGGTGGGTGGGTATCGTAGATATGATGTGTTTTTGATCCCGGGCGCCCGGAGAGCAATAGAGTAGCAATACGCCCTCCCGCCTCCCCTCCCGCCCGCTACCCTCTCCTCTGTCTGTCCGTTCTTTCCCCACCCCGTCCGGCGCTGCTCCGCTCCGCGTAGCTGGTTCGGTTCTGCTGCTCCTCGCTGCTCTCTGCTCTGTCCCGGGAACTAAAGGAAGCCCCACACGAGAGCGGAGGAAAATGAAAAAAAAAGAGGGGGAAAAAACGGCACATCAGAAAACGTGGGCGTTGTGAGGCCTGGCCGGTCTGAAGAGGAAGGGGTTGCAGGGGCGGGGGCCG